TATTCTTCTATTCTTATATTCTTATATTCTTATATTCTTATATTCTTATATTCTTATATTCTTACATTCTTACATTACTATATTCTTATACTACTATATTCTTATATGATTATATTATTACATTACTATATGTTTATATGATGCTATGATTATGTTATTGTATTACTACATTAGTATATGATTACATGACTATATCGTTATTTGATTGTATTATTGTATTATTATATGATTCTATTGTGATATGTTTATATTGTTTTATTGTTATATTACTATATGATTATATGACTTTATTGTTATATGATTATGTTATTATATTATTATATGACTATATTGTTATATGCTTATATATATTTATCTTGTCATATTACTATATGATTATATTGCATCATTGCTTACCGTCCTTGTTCAGCGCGGCAAGGAAGCCATCAGGCATGTCGGCAACCTGGTTCAAAACCAATCTCCCCCCACCCGCAAACTCGTTGGAGAACCCTCACGGAGCGCTAAACTCTCTCTACAAGGCTTCGGCAGTCATACCTCTGGTGGCCAAAGCATTCTGGATGTCCTGAACCTTGACCTCGACAGAACCGTTAAAGGTCTTGGCATGGCTTGTTGCAGTAAGCCGAGCTGGTGTTAATGACAAAAGCAGCCAGCAGCGCTGAGTTGTTTACCAGCCCATTAACATCAGGACGGAACTGCTCCCAGGCAATGGACAGGAGTCTGTCTTGCTCCTGCATGCCAGCGCTTCTGCGTGCTAAGCCCCTCATGTGATTCGTTCCATGGCTCTCTGCGCAACATGCGCATAGTACCTCCCTTGAACTGTCGTGTGCATGGCAGTGCATGGCAGCAGTTCTGCTTCGCTGCGTGTTGGGACAGGTTGTGAAGAAGGGGGGGTGGCCCCGCCTCTGGCTTCTTGCAGCGCAAGTTGATGATGCCCGCGAGGAACTCTGTGTAAGAGACCTGGACGTCTGTGAATAAAGACTCCGACCTCAAGCCTTAAGCCATGCGCATAGCCATGCGCATAGCCATGCGAATAGCCATGCGTATAGCCATGGCTATGCAGCCACGCGCGGCTCTGCACAGCCGTGCTGTCGTCCGAGCACCGCGCTTGTCCGGTTCTACCCACATCCAGCTCGCTGACAATCTGCCGATGCTTTCATACAATCCACCCAGGAGAAAGGTGAAGGGCGCTCTCGCAGCCTGCTCCGCCTGCTCGGGTGAGGCCCCAAACTGCATCAGCCCCTGCCTTTCAGAACTTTCAGAGCGCGGGACCATGTGTCGCACAGTTTATACACAGAGATCGAAGTGTGACCCTTCAGCAGGCCATGATCCCATCTGGCAGCCGGACACGATGCTCACGCTACTATACTCCATTAGTATAAAAAAAAACATAATAGAAATCTAAATATACTATCCTAGAGTAGATTTAAAGTTATATTCGCCTCGGCTTCCTGCCGAGAACAAGCAAACACGGGATCCGGTCTCCTTCCCCCCGAACCCAACCCTTCAAAACCCCCCCCCATCCCTTGGAGGGGCTGCAAAACCGATGCCGTGGGGGGTCCCGCCTGTCCAGCGGCTCTTGTAGAGGGGCGCTCCAAAAAGCGCAAAATTGGCTGTTTTGGTACCTCTTTTTCTTGGGGACCCCCTGGGACCCCCCCTGGGACCCCCCCCGTGGGACCTCCCTGGAACCTTTCTGGGACCCACAGGACTTACCTGGGACCCCCTAGGGACTCCCTGGGAGCCCCCCCTTTTGCTGGGAACCCCCCTCCCTTTTTTGAGGCCTGTCCGTGGGCCGGCCCGGCTGCCGAGGCAGCGCGTTTACAATTATGTTTATTGGTTTATGATTATTATATTTCTTATGATTATTAATATTACCATTATTATCATTATTACTATGATTATTATTCTTAAAAAAAAAATATATATATATATATATATATATATATATATATTTGCTATCGTTGACTGCTAGGCCATGCCTGAGCTCTTCGGCAGAAAGATGTCCGTCGCCGTCCGCGTCGAAGGCCTTAAAAGCCTCCGAAGAAGTGCGGGCCTTAACCCTAAACCCTAAACCCTAAACCCTAAACGATCCACGGAAACCAGAAGGCCTCGTTGACGGTGGTTTGTTGACTGGCATCAAGCTGCGTGGCAACCTCGAAGGCCGTCAAGCTGTCCATTGCTTACACGGGTACTTCCCCAAATAGTGGGTACCCTTAACATAACCCCAACATAGTATCATCCTTCCGTAAAGGGTACCCCCTATTTTCGGAAACCCCCAGTTTGCGAGTATTTTGCAGCTTCCACCTCACAACTCCTGAGATTGGCACAAATCGCGTGACAAACTTTTCAAACTCAGATCTCTGGCCCACCTGCAATCAGCAAGGGTGTCAGGTAAACAGCTCTAGGACTGTGCGCGAAAGGGCTTCTGTTCTGCGTGAGCTTGGACACTGGCCGCCAGCAAGCTTTGAATTTGATTGTTGTTCAGCGCGCCAGCTGGATTACCTGTCCGCGCGAACAAGTGGACGTCACCAGGCGTTTCGCAACCCAGATATCCCCCAAACCCTAAACCCTACACCCTAAATATTGTTCACTGTCAGTTGGGGCCCAGGCTGTGGCCAGCCAAGCCCATCTGCACGAACCACCTGCGCTTGCGCATGAGCTTCGGAACTCAGTTGAGCAGCTCAATGCTCGCGTGCTCCGGAGCCCTAAACCCTAAACTCTCAACCCTAAACCCTAAACCCTAACTGCAGCGGCCGTTTTCCTCTTCCGTTTTAGTGGCTGCATCCCCACCCTGATATCCAGCGCATGCCGGCTTTGAAGTCTGAGGAGAAGTACCAACCTGATCTTAAGGGTTTAGGGTTTAGGATGTAGGGTTTAGGGTTTAGGGTGTAGGGTTTAGGGATTAGGATGCAGGGTTTAGGGTTTAGGGTGTATGGGAGGTCAAGCAGAGGTTGGAGAGACTGTATCACATGGGAGCAAGCTGGGTGGTGCAGCGGCCCAGGCATTCTAGGATCGCAAAGTAAGCGCCGGCCCTTCCATGTCCCTTGATTGTCAACAACACTTCCAGCTCAGCGACAAATAGCCCGCGAGCATGTGCACCTGCACAGGTACACTCAATCAGTATGCAGAATTCAAAGTTTATGTTCATGTACACTGGGCAGGGCCAGAAGCAGTATTGGAGATGAATCATGGCGACAGTCAGTCGTACCAGGACAACACAGACGCAGCAATTTGAACATCGTACCGACACAAAGCATGGCGATGCATGGCCAAGACATGGTTACAATGGAACAGAGCCTAACATGATTCTGGTGCTGCCGGGTAGCCCCTCCCAGCCGCACAGCAAGGACGACAACTGCTCGCCGTAGCCGTAGCTGCAAGTCTGGGTGACACAAGAATGCTGCCACAGAACTTGGGGAAGGGAGTACTATACTTGATTCTTCACCACGAACGTGCATGAAGAACGTTCTGTCTTTAAGGCTGTTGTGGTCCGCTGCAACTCCCGGGCACTCTGGATCTGGGAGTTCGGTCCGGCGCAAGTTGCAAACATCTAAAGTCTAAACATGTAGTCAGAAACCACATCTTGAAATTGTCGTGCCGTGGGGCGGTGGAGGGATGGGTTTCCACATGCGTATCGGTTTTCGATAACTGCATGAGCGTATATGCATTCCATACACACATAAATCCTTATCAAAGGCTACGAAACAGTGCAACACGTGCTGTCTCTGGGACTTGCATGTCTTGTTCAATGTCTTCAAGTATGCAAGTGTACTTACAGAGCATGACCGAGCGCGCCGAAGCAACATGGATGGGTTCTGACCATGACTTTTGGGGTTTAGGGTTTATAGAAATTGTATAGGGTTTGGGTCCCAATAACGTTTTGACCGAAAGTTTTGACCGAAACGTTTTGTTTTCAAAATTGTGGGAATGGGGCCCATTTGGGTGGAGATCTGGGGGGAGATCTGGGGAGAAATCTGGGCGGGGATCTGGAGATCTGATTGGAAAGAGATCTCGGGAGAGCGGGGGGAGATCTTGGGGGAGATCTGTGGGGGCGAGATCTGGGCGAGATCTGGGGAGATTTGGGCGGAGATCTGGGGGAGATCTGGGTGGAGATCTGGGAGATGGGAGATCTGCCGGCAGATTGGGGAGAGATGTTGGGGGAGATCTGGGCAGAGATCTGGGGGGGGGGGGGGGGGATGTGAGGAGGTGAGGATGGGAGAGGGGGGGTGAGAGCAGGGATGGGGGATGAGAGGAGGGATGGGGGAGGGGAGGGGGGGGGGGGGGGGGAAGGGGAGAGGTTTAAGTAAATTGAGCATTTGGCCTCAGAAGTGTTCTGGCTTAATTTACTTAAATTCAGCTTGTCAGCTGTTTAGACAAATAACTTGGAAAACTCAAAATGAGACCACATACAAATTCTATTCATTTTATCTTGAGGGTTTAGGGTATAGGGTTTAAGGTTTAGGTTTAGGGTTTAGCGCACAGGCTCTGGCGACCTCAAGCCGGGTTCCCGGCTGGAAACCACCCCGGGAAGGTATAATCCAGACTCGTGCAAGCCTCTTCATCCCTGCGAAGTGGAGGATGAAGGGTTTAGGGTCTAGGGTGTAGGGTTTAGGGTTTAGGGTTTAGGGTTTAGGGTTTAGGGTCTGGGGTCTGGGGTCTCGGGTTTAGGGTGTAGGGTGTAGGGTGTAGGGTGTAGGGTGTAGGGTGTAGGGTGTAGGGTGTAGGGTGTAGGGTTGAGGGTTGAGGGTTGAGGGTTGAGGGTTGAGGGTTGAGGGTTGAGGGTTGAGGGTTGAGGGTTGAGGGTTGAGGGTTGAGGGTTGAGGGTTGAGGGTTGAGGGTTGAGGGTTGAGGGGTGAGGGTTGAGGGTTGAGGGTTGAGGGTTGAGGGTTGAGGGTTGAGGGTTGAGGGTTGAGGGTTGAGGGTTGAGGGTTTAGGGTTTAGGGTTTAGGGTTTAGGGTTTAGGGTACTGGCCTGCTCTGAAAGCATGGGTGCTCTGCGTCGCAAAGTAGGCAGCCATCATCTGGTGCGAAGTTCGCTTCCCCCACTCCTTGGCCAAGTTAACTGCTTCCATGCGGCTAGGGAACAAATATTCCTCCAGTGAAAACAAAGGGCTAAAAAACAGTGCTAACAACACATGCTAACAACAAGCACATCATACTTCCAGCTGGAGAGTGAAATCCAGATGTGCTGCTATCAGTGGGGCCCACCAAGACCGGGCAAGCGGCATCAGGCCAGCAGGCCCATGCAAAGTAGGTGTAGGCAGTATACCAGTATACTTGTTACAGGAAGAGAAGCATCGGTCCCCTGCCACGTTTTCATGATCGAGGGCTTGTCGGCGCCTTTCTGGCCAGGCCAGTGCGCCAATGCGTGGTGCGCGATTCCGCCGCGTCAGTGCGCGAATGTGCCTGGGTCATGCGCGAAGCTGCGTGTGTGAATCCACCATCCAATGCGCACGTTTGCCGGTGCGCGCATCCGCGGTGTTCAGAGTGTGCCCTCCCCCCCCCCTTCCCCCGCATTCGTTATTCTTTTCCGCCTCTACCCTGGCTGATACGCGTGCACAAAAGCCGAAAACACTGAGCCCTCGTAGCCCTATGAATCCCAAACCCAAACCCTTGACAACCCTAACCTTTCAAGTCGACAGCGTAGCTGGGGCCACATCGCCAGAGAGTCGGATTTCGCTGAGGTGGTAGGGGGACCGAAGCTGCTAGTGCTTGAAGGAGGGTGGGCCTTGTTTTGGAGCGGGGGCTTGGGGAAGGCATGTATCACCGGCAAGTGCAAATCCATGCTCAGCCAGCCAAGCTTGCGACATGTTTTACCCCACCTGAAAAACCTGCTGATAAAAAAAACTAAAGGACTGGAACCAGTGCATCTTAGTGTCTGGCATAGTGGCATGGCCATGAAGTGTCGCAGGTGTCCATGTCTCTGCTCATGGCGTCATGAGACAGCAGGTAGCCCCTGCGGAGGTTGTCGTATCTCCACATGTGGTCCAGCCAACCTTTGCAAGATCCCAACGCGCAGAAAACACGCTACCTATAGGCATACATCCTCGTCTTGACAGCGAGACACCAGAGGATGTTCTGCACACCTCGGTAACTTCTGCAGCAAAGACGTCCTTGGCTTGCCAGCTCCATGGCACATTTGCGCCGTTTCTGGGGCAAACTTGCCAGACAAATTCATGGGCCAGCTCAGCAGCGCAGGAGTGATGAACTTATTTGAAACCCCGAGCCCGCCCCCGTCATATCCTTCTGAAACAGACCGAGCACGTCCAACTTCGTAGTTGCGGTGATGCCGTGCTGGATGACGTTAGCCACATTACGCGCATAAACCTCAGAGTCGAAGCATATGGAAGCACGGTATGGTAATAACCTGCGAATCCCTCCAGAACCAAAACAACATCCCTCAGAAAGAAAGGTGATATGAGCACAAGACTGAGGGACATGGCGGTAGTATGTTGGTAGCAAAGCCCTCAAGACCAGCCGGCCATGTCTGGCAGCACCAATGTCGCCTGTCTCCCTCAGCGCACTGTCGCAGTGGTGTGCTGCCGCACGCCGATAGTGGCCAACATGGACAACCTCGACAACGGCTTGAAATCAGCAGCACAGCACCCCTTTCTTTAACAAGAAAAAGCAACAACCACAAATTTAAACAGAAACAGGGAATTATTGCATACCCGGCGTCGTGCCCGTAGAATGTGCGGACGTTCCGAATGTTTTTGTTCTCCCACATGATGCCATCCTTGTCGAAGCCTGACAGGCACAGAAGGAACTCTCTGATCTTTGATCCTTCCGTGTTCCTGCGTTTTGAGGGCGCGAGCCTATGCCATCCCAAAGCAATGGGAGCTGCAAGAAGGTGGTGCACAGGTGTGATGCTTCCAGCCAGGATGGCCAGTTCGGCTCCTCGCGATGTCCACCGTCACACCAGCAAGTCTCGTCAGCAAAAGCGGTGTTGCTGAAGGGCGTCGATCCATGCGCAAAGCGCACCGCGCTGGGACCTGTCAGACTAAGCTCACGCTGGGTCGGGAAGAGGGAGGCTGTCCAATGGAAACACAGCACCTGGACACAGCTTGTGGAGCTCAACAATTTGCTTCGGAGTGTTTTTCTCTCGCATAAACACCCCACCGGCATCAGAGCTCCGACCGCCTCTATGCATGTGGCTGGTCCGGGAACTTGGCCGGCACGGCTTAAGTCCAGGGGAAGCAGCGATGACTGCACAAGAGACTGCTGGATGCTGCAACCCTCTGCTGCCAAAACCAAAAGTGAAGAATCTCCTTAGGGGCATGGCTCATGTGGGTCGCCCTTGAAGACAAGGACTCAATTAACGCGTGCATGTAACTGGGGGCGAGCCCAGACATTAGAGGCATGCCCAAAGCAACTTGGGTCAGTTGACAGAAATTCAGCCCGGAGCGTTTAGGCATGCTAGCGGGCCTGCTTTAACCAAGCCGATCAAGCGGGAGGCTTCAAAATGCAAACAAAAGAGAGCTGAATTCTTGGCTGTCTAGCAAGCTCGAGTGCCCTCTCATGATGTGCAAGAGTGTGTTCGATGAGATCAGGGTGCTTGGCTTGGGGGAGGGCACACGAGCATGAATGTCCCTGACTCAGACCATAAACTGAAACCAGTTCACCAGCCAGATCAGACAGCAAAGCCAGAGGGAGGATGGAAGCAGTGGAACAGATGCGGACAGCTCGGCGTTGCGCCGCACAGGGGCAGAACCATTCACAATCCTGATGTCCGCGCAATTCTGCCACACTTGCGACGACTGCTCGCAGTCCCATCGCCAGGACAGCAAGTAGTCGCCTTCCTCCAGGTCCTCCGGCACTAGGATCAGATCGACAATGCTGAAGGGGAAGCCACGAGAGACTGGTGGGTCGCCGGCATTGTTGGAGCTCACGGTGGTCGACCACTGTGGCACATCCTGGCCAAGGGTGCTGCGCCAGAAGGGCACGTGGCCGCTGAATCCTGAAAAGGGCTCCTGGAACTGGAGCATTCCCGGTGGGCACTGGACTACGTCGTAGCCGCTGGCTGCTTGTGCACAGGAGATATACTCTTGGCGTGGAAGTCCATCGCACTCCGCCTGGCTAAACATCTCGCAGCTCGGGATTGGATTGCGAGCCCACTCGCTGCCTGCTGGGTAGGTGCCGTCTTTCACAATCCGCAATGGCAGATGCAGGCGTGGCAAATCTGGGCCGATGAGCTCGCCCATCTGCGAGACGTTGCCATATTGGATCCACTGCTTGTCGCCCGAGAAGCGCAGCACATGCCTCTGAAAGCACTCCTCCGTGATGTTGGAGGTCTTGGGGCAGAGCCTGTAGGAGTAACCACCCCCATGGTTGGCAGTGATGGCCCAGGCCACCTCCTGTGTGGAGCCCTTTGGCCACGTCATTGCCTCCTTCTCTGGCAGGGACTTTCCGTCGGTGCCCGGGGTGTGTGAAGGCATCAGGCTCCCAGCCGAGTCCACGACCGGGTCCGCCAGTCCACCGAAGATGCCACAGCCCGACCCAAAGACGGGTGCTGTGCCTGGAGCGCGCCAGGGATTCTTCCTGGACCAATCCTTGGCCCCGGATTGCACTTTCACGTTGAAGGTCCGACTCCGCTCGTCGTTGACTGTGGGCTCCCCCGGAATGGTCACGAAGTCCGAGTACCACATGCAGTCGTCGAAGGCGCAGCTCCCAGCATGCGCCAAGCTGCCGTTTTGCCGCGACGAAGGCGGCCAGGTCATGACACCGTGAGCATGGGCCCGTGCCATGCCGACCGCGACCAGCACCAGCATCATGTCTTCGAGAAGCTCGGGGGATCTCGGGGGACGTCCACGGCGTCAACAAGCTTGCTCCAACTTTTGGGCCAATAAGCCGCGGCGGCATGCCAAGAAGCGTTTCTGTGTTTCCTTGAATGATGCACTTGAAGGGCACAGCCCAAACATGGACTATTTAGACATTCCACCCTCCACCCTCCACACTCCGCCAACCACACACACCACCACTACCAGAAACCGCTACCAAACACCACCGCCACCACCACACCACACACCACACTCCACCACACACATCCACACTCCACCACACACACATCCATACTCCACCACAGACCATCACCACAACCATAACGCTCACCACTCCACCACACCCCCCCCCACACCCATTCGCTCAACTCAGAAACACAGGGCCCCCCTCCAATGCGATCTATACGCAGCGACCGCGCATCTATCGCCAGCTCCCCTTTTTAAAATTAAAAGGCTGTAAAGTCAACTTAAAAGCAATCCGCCAAGGCCTTGGGCCGTAGGTGTCTGGGTAGCACAAACAGGCACCCCACCACCCCTTTATTTTGCACTTTTGGCCTGAAAATGGGTACCCCCCCTAGCCGACAAGTGTCCGGGGAGCAGACGGTGCATCAGGACCAGGGGTCACTTCAGCTGCCATAGAGCCCCCCCCCCCCAGCCCACCGGCCCCCCAACCCCGGCCCCCACCGCACCGCCCTTCGCCTTGGCCTCTATTGGCCTCCGGGGCCTTTTCCCACCACTGCCCCCTTGTTACAGCAGCTCAGGCCGACCCGCCGATTTGATGAATGGCGACCTGCCCCTTTAAAATGGTATTACCGATAGATTCAAGAGCACCCACCCACCCCCCCCCCCGGTTTTCCTCGATATTCTCGGTAAAAACGCAACTCCAGGGTTGGCCCGGTTCCCTTGTAAAGCAGGTCCGGTTCCCTTCTAAAGCAGGGACTAACTCAAGCCAAGCTACGCTAGCTTTCGTGATAAAAGTGACAGCATCATTCAGATTAAACTGCCCTTGAACACGCCTCTACACCACACGGACCACAGCTCGCTGCACGCGCAGCTCGAGGAGTTCTCTGACAGTTTGATCGACCCGGCAACCTTGCCACAACCTGAGTCTGAATAGAATGGAGAAATCCATGTAGGGCATCAGCCTCGGAGCATGATGTTGAAGACTTCCGACCTAAAACACAAAGCCTTGCGGCCGGGCCACTTCCCAACCGTACCCAATCCAACAGCTTCTCCCGTCGCCAGTCGAAGTGGTTTGGTGAGCCCACCAAGCAGGCCTGGTTTGCATCTTCAAGACGGACGAAGCAACATAAATGAGTTTGTTGGTCCATCTGGCCCTCTTTCCTCCCACCTGCGCCACATCACCTCAGCAGACGTCGGTCTGGGCATTGATGTGTTGAGACAGTTCGGCAAGAGAGTTGCTTGACTTCATCTTCCAGAAAAACCGAGGCACTCATGGAGAAGGGGGGGACATCATCACTCGACCAAACATTGGGATGCAGGTATTGCTGACTCCTCCAAAGAGCCTCAGCTCCACACACGCACACTTGTTTATTCTCGGCTCGTCTGGAGCATGCCGAACTGACCTACCGCTGAAATCTCAATGTCAAAGCATTTCACTAAGACCTCCTGCTTCAGATGCTGGCCGCGAAGCTGCTTCGACGGAGCCGTGGGCACCTCCAAACCGATCTCATACATCACTGCAGGTGACCTACAAGCCTTGCAAGCTTCCAAATGGCTGTTTTCCAAAATAGGGGGGGTACCCCTTTTAGACCCCAAACAGAGTAGAATCCCCTTAAAGGAACCCCAAAAAGGGTACCCCCTGTGTTCGGAAACCCCCGACTTGCTTCCGGCCAGGACCTGCCTGGTGCTTGGAAGGTTGGGCAGCCGCGGTGCCTGATGATTCGTCGCCCAAAGCAGCCCAGCGCATGCGCGCGGTACCACTGCAGCAGCTGTCGGCCAAGCCGATTTCGATTGCCAGACGCCTCACTTGTCTTGCGGTTAGCAGGGAATGGGGAATGAGGTACCCTACATAATCCTGAAAGGGCATATATAGTACCCCTACTTCCCTCATTTCCTGCTAGCCAACAGTAAGACTTGTGAATCTTGCAAGCATTTGCAAGCAGTGGCTAGCCAGCATGTGAATTTCACTGGGACAGGACAGGCGTCGGCCAATGGACAGGCCTTCTTCTCGTAGCTTGCCGCATGGTCTTCCTGAAAAGTTGAAATTGAGAAGAGCGTCCGCCACAGCACAGGTCGTTTCTGAGTTCTCTCTTATACAAAAGATCGGCTCTTCTTCTGACAAGCTGCGGAGTGGTAGCGGCCTCCCCACGTCACAATCAAACACAAACGCCAAAAAACACATACAAAGCCTTCACATTACCAAGTACTACATCAATCAACTTCGCCTCTCCACGTCAGATGCTGAAAGCAGCCTTCATCTGTGAACCTCTGGGTGTCCGCAAGATTCAACAAAGATGAGCTGAAGCGAATCAGACGCTGACAAACGCAGCTCGTTGCGACCCGTTGTGAACCGTTGTGACGCATTGCGACCCGCCTGACGAAGGTGTGCACGCCCCTGATGCAGAGCTGGACCCTTCCATTGCCGGGGACTTCGCCATCATGGATACCTCATGGAGATTCAGCGACAAGCCTACTCGATCGTGACTCATAACGCTGGCAAAAGACAACCTGCTTGTGCACTCTTGTATACTCTCGTGCATTTCTGGAAGTAGCACAGGCCAAGGGGCGCAGCGCACGTGCAGCGATGACACTCAGCAGGGCAAGGAAACTCGCCCGGCAGATTGCCAGCATGGAGCTGTATTAATCGAGCCACATAAGTCTGCAGGATGCATGTAATAGACAAGTAGTAGATGTAATCCGCCTCGGCCTCGGCCAGTAGGTACCCTGGGTAGCAGGAAGCGAATCCCCTCCGGGAGCGAACGGTGCATTTAAGCCCGAGGGCGGGTCACGTAGCGTGAAAATTATAGGTGATCTGAACTGACTCACAGGAAAGGGCTGCGCTCTTGCATGGCACAAGCTACTATTTGCTTAAGAACCCCAAAAGAATTTAAAAAAATTGGGGTTCTTAAGCAATTGCTAGCAAGAGGGTGCAAGGAGCGCCCCACCTGTCCTTCAAACAGCTCTGTGCAGTCGGCCGCTGATGCTCCATCTTCTGAAGCATCTGCCTGGGCCACTAAACCGTAAACCCTAAACCCTAAACCCCAAACCCCAAACCCTAAATGTCTCGGGTCCCTCCTGCATATCTGCTGTGCTTCTTGGGTGGCTCCACCCATAGCAGCCTTGCGAAAAATCAGTGAAGGCAGACGCGGCAGATGGCAGGAAGGCGACCAAGAACCGAAAGCCGCCGAGTCCCAGACCCAGTCCGGCTCCTGCTGTACAGCCTTCGGGAATTCCTCACATTCCAAGGAAGGGTCGATGTGGGGGGTTTCCGGAAATAGGGGTACCTTATTGGGGTCCGTACTTCAAGGGAATCTGATTATTTGGGGGGTCTATATTAGGGGTCGCCGATTTTCGGAAACTCCCATATGACGGGTGCTGGTTTTCCCTTGAAGCCCTCCGAGTGGTGGCCTTCACAGTGGCCGCGACGAAGGGCAAACGCCCAGACAAAAGGAAAAACAGCATGCAGCCAGCTGACCTTAAAATTCAGCAAGGGTTTAGGGT